ATTTAATCTTTTTAACATAATTAAGTAACAAATTTTATAAATTATTTACTTACTTCATCATTGTAATTTTCTAAATGATCTTTAGTATGACCATACGGAAACATTAGAAGTTGAGAATAGCTATGGAAAGCAATGTAAGCAGAAAATTTATTCGAGATAGATGAGATGAATTCAGATAAACTTTTTGTTTCTACATCAGAGAATGCAGAACTTCCAGCATAAGTTTCTGAACATGGATTGGTGCTAGCACCACCAGCTAAAATATAAGAATATGATTTCTATAAAAATTATGAAAAATTATATAAAATATTAAATTAAAAACTTACACATCCATTTATATCCCCAATTCCTATTAGGATCAGTTCCATAGCATAAAAGACCATATGGTTTACGAGTTTTTCTCCATAAACGATTCTGAAATATAATTTATTAAAATAGTAAATAAAATAATATAAAATGAATATAAATAAATTTTAAACAATATAAACATATATCAATTTTATATATAATATAATATATACTATATATACTATATATATATGTGATCTTTATAATATTTATAATATATATTTATATATATATATTTATAATAATAAAATTAATAAAGAGAAATAAATTTTATTTTTTGTTAAATTGTTATAAAGCTTTCTTTTAAAATTTAAAAATTTAATAAAATTTAATAAAATCGATAATACATTTATTGAAATTTTGACATTTTCATTTCATTACTAAAATTTCTTAAATTTTTTAATTTTTCGAATATGAAATTTAATATCAAATTATTTACCGTTGTGTGAGTATATACGTATCCATCAGGATTAAAGATAGGAAAGATGTACCAATTGTGAGATTCAGCAAGTGCTCGGATATCAGCGTTATTGCTATGTAACAGTTCATTTGTTATATAAAGAAGAGTAGCAGGAGTGATCCATTCTCTAGCATGAATTCCACCCTCTAAAAAAATTCCAGGTTTATTTGTGCCGAAATTAAGTTTCACACCTTTAATCTGACGTCCTTCATATGTTTTTCCACCAACAACCACTTCGACTTTGCCAGGATTGGCTTTGGCCAAACTATCTAAATAAGCGTAGATCTCCTCGAGAGTATGATATTGAGCGAAATTAAATACAACTAGCGGTTGAATCGGTGATATTTCACTATCAATCAAATCTTGAACATTGTTGACATAGATATCATAAGGAATATCCAATTTCATCATCATATCATAAAACTCTGGTATCTTATGAGGAGCAACCATTATATCTGCAATACCTTCTACAGTATTTGGTTCTTTCCAGAAAGAGAACTATAATTATGAAAATTTATTAATTATGTTACTATAATTTGCTTTTGAGATTATGAAAATTTGTTTTGTTGTATTTAAAGTAAATAATATTAGACATTCATTATTAAGATAAGAAATAAATTAATAACAAGAAAAATATTTCTTTTTATTATAAAATAATGGAAAGAAGAAAAACATTTTCTTTGAATATTTAATATGAGTTTTCATTTTATATAGTAAAAAATATTGATATCATGTAAAATAAATATATTATATACATACCGCGTCAGAAACATCTTCCAAATTGCGTACAATTTCAAATTGCTCTTTTGTTTGAAGTGCGATACGGAATACTTTGTAATTATCATATTTTATCTTCTCGGCTATCGCTAAGCCAACCAAACTGATGAAAATTAACTTCCACATAATGCTTTCTAAGAAAAAATTTTTAATATTGCATAAAATATTTATTTTAAATATTTAAAATGTTTATAAAATTAAAACGAACGTGAATTAAAAAATTTTTTCACGAAAAAGTTTTTAAATTTTGATCTAAATAAATAT